AGCTGAGCTGAGACCCCATTCCCGAGGGAGGGTCTGTAGGGGCAGGGCTGTCTGGGTTCAACATTGTCCTTAAAAAGCTGGAGGAGTGATCCCGGTGGAAGGGAATCTCTATGAGAATGTGTTGGGAGCCATGGTAGAATGGGGGTTCTCTGCTCCCTGTGGAAGTGTTGGGAGCCATAGTGGAATAGGGGATTACAGTTGAAGTGCTGGGAGGCATGCTGAGATATGGGGTCACAGCTGGAGTGTTGGAGCCATGCTGGGATGGGGGGATCTCAGTTCCCAGTGGAAGTGTTGGAGCCATGGTGGGATATGGGGTCACAGCTGGAGTGTTGGAGCCATGCTGGGATGGGATCCCTGCACGCTCCCTGCAGAGCCCAGCTGGGTGAGCTCCTGCCTCCAGCCCTGCCCAGTCTCCTGCCCATCTCCAGTGTCCCCTTGCCCTTCCCTGCAGGAGCGAGAGCGCCGAGAGCCCGGACACGGCTCCCTCGGGGGCGCCGGCGGCGGATCAGCCCTCGGTGATCCCCACGCAGGGGGACCTGCTGGGGGACCTGCTCAACCTGGACCTGGGCCCCCCCGTGAGCGGCCCACCCGTGGCCACCTCCTCCGTGCAGATGGGCGCCGTGGACCTCCTCGGGGGGGGCCTGGACAGCCTGGTACGTCCTCGGGGGCTCCTGCCACCATTCCTGGATATCCCGGTGGCACCGTGCCGGGTTTGGTGCTGGCTGTGGTGGGGAGTGTCCTGGGATAGGGCAGATATATCAGCCTGGAGATATCCAGGCTGGTCCTTCCCTCCTCCGGTGGGTGCAGGCAGAGGGGCACTCACCCTAATTTGTCTTGTCCTCGTGTGGTGGCTGGAGGGCTCCCACCCCCTGCTCCCCAGTCCCTGTGGATGTTCCCACTCCATGTGCTGTGCTGCAGGAGTGGCTGCTCTTCTGCCCCCCCCCGACCCCCACATTGGGGGTCACTCCCAGGGTGTGGGGTGGGAGCTCTGGAGGTGTTGGCATGTCCTCCTGGGACCCGTGTCCTCCCAGGAACGCGGCCAAGCAGCGGTTTGGCCGCAGGGTGGGGTGGGATGGAAACCTCTCCCTGCCTGGGAACACCTGCCCTGTGGGTGCTGGAGACGGTCCAGGCTCCCTGAAGGAGCAGAGTTTGGGGTTTCTTCCATGGCTCATAAAATCCAGCGGGTTTGCCCCCAGGGGAGGCGGCGCCGCTGCCTTTGCTGCTCCGGAACCTTCCGAGCGCTGCCCCGGCTCCGTGTGGGATCCCAGCGGGGTGCTGGGCTCTGGGGATGTGCTGCTGTGTCTCCAGGCTGCAGGGCAGGGACAGACAGACACCTCAGCACTAACCTTTCTCCCCTCCTCCCCTTCTCTTCTCTCTCTGTTTTCGGGCTCTTCTCTCCTGCCCTGTCTCTGCATGCTGCTGGCTCTCCTCTCCACCTTGCTGCTCCCTCTTGGAGATGGGGGACGAGTCGGAAGGGGTATGGATCAGCCCTTTTCCCAGCCCTGTGCCCGCCCCTGGCTGCCCCTGCTCCGCACCCCGAGCCCCCTGTTTGCTGCCCCAGTGCCACCCCCCTTTCCCTGGGGACAGCCAGGCCCCCCCCCCAGCACCTGGCACGGAGCATCCTGACTCCAGGCCTTTGCTACCTCACTCTGATGCTTTCAGGGCGTGCCCAGAGGGGGCATTTTGGGGGATCCCTGTGCCCTCAGCCCCTGCTGATGCCCCTTCCTTCTCTTGCAGCTGCGAAGCGATGTGGGAGGCAGCCCTGCTGTGAGTGCGCCCAAACCTTCTCACCCTCTGCATCCTCTTCCTCATCCTCCTCCTGCCTCTCCTGTCCCCCTCCCCTGGTGCCCCCATAACCCTCCCTTGTCCCCACAGATGGGCAGTGGCAGCGGCGGCTTCGCTCCAGCTCCCGGCGCCGCGGTGCCCTCCAACACGGGGGCACCCCTGGGCAGCGGCCTGGGGGACCTCTTCGACCTCACTGGTGGCGTGGGGACCCTCTCAGGATCCTACGTGGCTCCCAAAACGGTGAGTGGGACACGGAGCTCAGGGCTGGGGGGGGTGCACAACCCCCCGTGCCCCGTTCCCCACAGGGGCTGCTTTGGGTGACGCCCCGAGGGTTTCTCGTTTCCCTCACCCAGGTCTGGCTCCCTGCCATGAAAGCCAAGGGGCTGGAGATCTCTGGCACCTTCAGCAGGCAGGTGGGCTCCATCTCCATGGACCTCGTGCTGACCAACAAAGCCCTGCAGGTCATGTCCGACTTCGCCATCCAGTTCAACCGCAACAGGTGAGGTCCCACCCGGGCCGGTGTCACCTGTGTCCCCTGTGACCCGGGAGGTGCTGCCCACGCCCCTGGGAGTGGTTTTGTGGAACCAAGGGTGGGAGGAAGGAGCTGCCAGGGCTGGGAGCAGCCTCTTGTGATGAGCCTTCTGTCTGATGGCTGTGCTGGTGATGAGCAGCAAACCAAAGCCTCTAAGAAGTTGGCTGAAGGGGCTGTTCCTCGGGGCTCTGACCCTTGTCCTGCCGTTTGTCCCAGTGAACTGGGGCTTCCTCTTCCCTCAGAGGCCCTGAGGGAATGGGGCAGGAATGCTAAAAGCGGGTGTGAGTCTGGGTGTAGGAGGAAAAGGGGCAGATTTTGGGGCTGCCCCAGGGTGGGCAGGACAGGAGACAACCCCGTGCTGGGCTGTGCAGGGGCAGCAAGGTGAGCTCCTGGGTGTTCCCAGGATGCCGGTGGAGGAAGGCAGGGAGCCCTGGGACGGTGCCTTGTGCCATCCCCCACCCTGACCCCCTGCCCTCCCTGGGTGTCCCCCCAGCTTTGGCCTGGCCCCAGCAGCTCCTCTCCAGGTCCACGCCCCGCTGGCCCCCAACCAGTCCGTGGAGATCTCCCTCCCCCTGAACACCGTCGGCTCCGTCATGAAGATGGATCCCCTCAACAACCTCCAGGTGGGCACCCCGGGGGTCTCCGGGCACGGGCAGGGCTGTCCCGGTGTTCCCTGGAGGGGGGTGACACCTGGTTCCAGAGGGACCCACGGGGCGGGTGGGACACTTGCTCTGGGAGCCACCCCGGTGTTGAGTGACCGTGTCCTCCTGTGCCAGGTGGCGGTGAAGAACAACATCGACGTCTTCTACTTCAGCACCCTGTACCCCCTGCACATCCTCTTCGTGGAGGACGGCAAGATGGGTGAGTGGGGGCACGAGGGACCTCACTGCCCTCTGTCACCTTGTCTGGGGGTGCCATCCCAGCCCCTGGGACCCTCCTGGCCACATTACCCAGGCTGGCACAGCTTGTGAGCCCCCAAAAGCGGGTCACTCCCCCGAGCCCGGCCTTGGGCAGCGGCTGGAGGGGGTGCTGGGGTGACAGGGTGACATCCCTTCGCTGCCGCCGGTGCTGTGCCCCTGTGTTGTCACCCCTGGGGGTGGCCAGTGCTGCAGCTCCACCGTGGGGTCGGTGTCCTTGCTCCCTGCAGAGAGGCAGATGTTCCTGGCCACTTGGAAGGACATTCCCAACGAGAACGAGACCCAGTTCCAGATCAAAGACTGTTCCCTCAACGCAGGTGGGTCCCAACCCCTCGCTCAGGTCGTGGCTCATCCCAGGTATCCCAGGCTGTGGGGAGCAAGAGTTCCTTCCCCCTGTGCCCACCCCATATTCCCAGGAAGGAGATGCTGCTTTTGCTGCCCTTGGCTGGCTGTAGGAACTTGGCAGGTTGGAAGTAGATGAGTTTTAAGGTCCCTTCCAACCCAAACCATCCTGTGATTCCGAGTCACTCTGCCTGCTGGGGCTGTCCCTGCCCTGGGGACAGTTGCTGTGCCCACCCTGGGATCATAAAATCATGGAATTGTTTAGGAAAAGACCTCCAAGATCATCAAGTCCAACCATTCCCCCAGCACTGCCAAGGCCACCATGTCCCCAAGTGCCACATCCACGTGGCTTTTAAATCCCGCCAGAGGTGGGGACTCCATCAATGCCTCACCACCCTTTCCATGGATAAATTTTCCCTAATACCCAACCCAACCATCACAGGGAGGGGAGGAGATGAGGCAGGAGCAGGCCCAAGTTGGGGTTTGTGTCAGCCCAGCCCTGCCAGCCCCTCTCTCCCCTCCCAGATTCCGTGAGCAGCAAACTCCAAGGCAGCAACATCTTCACCATCGCCAAGAGGAACGTGGAGGGCCAGGACATGCTCTACCAGTCCCTGAAGCTCACCAACGGCATCTGGGTGCTGGCAGAGCTCCGGATCCAGCCCAGCAATCCCAGTTTCACGGTGTGTCCCATCCCCAGACCTGCTCCCGACCCCCCTGGGCAGCTCCCTGCCTTCCCTGCTCCGAGCCTGGGGAGGGCTGGGTGGCACATCCGTGGTGGTGGGACCCCCCCCCCCAGCTGCTGGTGGTGCTGGTGCCAGTCCTGCTGTCCCTCTGGCATGGGGAGGGTGACAATTCCTGCCGGGCTTCTCCGTGGGAGCAGCTGAAGGACACAGAGAGCTCCCACCCCACCCTCACACCTCCGTTAAAATAATCCCCCATCCCCTCCTTGGAGCATCCCCATCCCTGCCCTGAGCAGGGATGAGCCATCCCCGTGTCCTGCTTTCCCTGTGCCCTTCCCACGCCCCTCACAGCCTGTTTTTGGGGTTGGGATGGGCTGTGTGACCTTCACTCACCTCTCTGTGTCTCCGTCCCTGCCGCCCGCCCTCGCCGGCCCGCCCGCCCTTGCAGGATTTGGAGGTTAGCACATTGTTTTTTCCCTGGCTTTGGGCTCTCTCTGGCTGCTGCCCGGATTTTCCACCCTCCCCTGATTTTTTTCCCCCCCCTGCCCTGCCAGTCTCTTGGTGCCTCCTGCCTCTCCTTTGGGCAGGGCTGGCACGAGGAGCTGAACGTTTTGGAGGGTCGGGGTGTCCCCAGCCCCATCCTGGGCTCACTGGGGGTGAGGAGAGCTGCCAGTCCTTATCCCAGAGGATTCTCCCTGAGCTCTCCCTGCTCGAGGAGCCAATTGATTGCAGAGTCATTTAATATTTAGGCAAACACCCAAAAGTGGCTAGTTCCTCTTGAGAGAGGAGGATGTTTTTGGGGAACCCTTCACCCCAGAGCACCAGGCACTGAATCCAACCCCTGCCTGCCCCCCCTGCCTGTGCTGCATGTGGATGTGCTGCCCTGGGATGGTTATTTTGGGGGTTCAGTGCCTTTAATATCCTTTTTCCAGCTGCAATAAGGAGCTGGGTGCCCCTGTGGAGGAGGGGGTGCTGCAGCATGCAGGGTCTGCTTTGGGGTTGGTGCTTCTCCAGTGTGTGTGGGGAGATGCCATGACCCCCCTCTTCCCTCTCTCCCACAGTTATCCCTGAAATGCCGAGCTCCAGAGGTGTCCCAGTACGTCTACCAAGCCTATGAGACCATCCTGAAGAACTGAGGTGCTGCTGCAGCCCTTCCTCTTCTTCCTCCTCCTCCTCCTCCTCCTCCGCTCCCTTTCCCGCCCGAGGCAGCGGGGCCGGATCCATGTGCATGTCTCCTTTCCTTCCTGCCAAGGAAGCAGCCCCTGGGACTCTCCCCTTGCTGGTGGGGCTGGGGGGGGGCACAGGGGGGCAGAGGGGCTGCCCCCAGGCCCTGATCCCCGTAGCAATCCGTGTGTGAGCGGTGCCGTGTCCTCCTTGCTGGGGTCGCTCCCTCAGGATTCCCTGTTTTCACCCTCTGGGAGCTGCTGTACCTGGGGGAGGGGGAAGGGGGGGCAAAAACCCACTTCCCCACTCACCCTGGGTCTCTTGGAGTGGTGTCTGATGGTGGGTTCAGCATTCCAAACCCTGGGAATAGCACCTGGGGGCTCTCAGCCAGCCTGGTTGGGGCCCTAAGTGCTGTGGGATGGGGGGGCTCTGGCTGCTGATCCCACTGGAGCCCTGGGATTTGGGGCTCAGTGTGCCTGGAGCAGGTGGAAAACAGCGTTGGCTCCTTTCCCCTCTCTTCCTCGTTTTGTCCCCTGGTTCAGCAGAGCCGTGGGTGAGCCCCCAGCCCTTCAGAGAGGGTCTCCTTCCCATGGGAGCCCTTCCCAAAGCTCCCAGAAGGGCTCGAGGAGCTCAAATTCGAGGCTGTACTTAATGTGCAGGTAAAAAAAAAAAAAAAGGGCTTTTCCAGCCCCCTCCAGCCCCCCCTGTGGAGCTGGGAGGGCTCTGAGTGTCCCCTCAGCCCCTTCCCACCCCTCAGCTCCCTCTGGATGGTTCCCTGGGGGTGACACTGCTCCTTCCCCTCCCAAATCAAGCCATGGGTCCCCCCTCCCTCGAAGCAGGAAATCTCTAATATATGGAAGATAAATCTATTGTGTGTTCACTGGTTTGAGGTGAATAAAGGTGACACCTGCCCATGGGGACATGTGGGGTGGCCCTGTCCCCGTGATCCCGAGGGAAGCAGGATGCTGGGAGCTTCCTGCCAGCACTGGCCTGGCCTTGCAGGGGGAGATAAGCCCGGCCCAGTGGCCATGGCCATGGCCCAGCAAGGCCTGACACAGCACATGGCCCATGGCCAGGGGACACAGGTCACCCCTTGGGGACAGGAGGGGCCTGGGAGCTCCAGGCTCTGCTCCCAGAGCCCCTGATGGATCCACCAAGGCCCTGCATCCCGATCTGGGGGATGCTTGGGGTGCCCCTGAGCCCCTCCTGGGGCTGGGGACGAGCACAGGGTCACCAGGAGGTTTGGCTGGTCCCTGTGGGGTGGGGGACAGTCCCTGGTGAGGATGGGCAGCACCACTGAGCTCTGCTCTGGGAGATCCCACCCAGCACTGGCACCCCTGCCAGGCATCCTGCTGGGCACTGGAGCTGCCCTGGGACACCCCACAGGGCACTGGAGCTGTTCTGGGACATCCCATGGGACACTGGAGCTGCTCTGGGACACCCCACAGGGCACTGGAGCTGTTCTGGGACACCCCACAGGGCACTGGAGCTGCTCTGGGCACCCCATGGGACACCAGCCCCGCTCCCAAGGGAGAGGCAGGACAGAGATCTGGGGACCTTCAGGACCCCCAAAGCCACAGCAGGATGGTCACCACCAGCAGAAATGGACCCCCCTAGTGCCCCCCAGCCTGCCCAGCCCCTGGAGCAGGTCCATACCCCCCCTGGGTGAGGGGTCTCAGCCATGGGGCACTTTGGGCTCCAGGGACCCCCCTGGAGAGGTCCCAGACACAGCCGAGGGGTCCCCGTGGCTGCAGTGGGTGCAGGACATCAGGGATCACCCTCCCCCTGCTCTCCACTGCTCCCAACCCTCCTGGGGCCCCCAGAGCCCCCCTCCCTTGGGTTTGGGGGGTCTGACCCCCCCCCCAGACAGACGAGCGGACGCGGCGGGCGCAGCTCCCTCGGTCTTTACTGGCTTGGGGGGACATGCAGGGCCCGAGGGGTGGGGGCACGGGGGGCACAGCCCTGTCCCACCCTGGGGACATCATCACAGCAGTGCTGGGGCCGGAGGGGACACAGTGACCCCCCTCCCGACCTCAAATCCGGGTTGTGGTGACAAGCTGCACATCCCCAAGTCATCTCAGGGGTGGAGGGAAGAGGAGGGAGAGAAGAGAGATGGGAGATGACCAAGAAGAGGAAAAAAACAAAAAAATGACCAAGAAGGTGATGATGACAAGGGGACAAGAAGGCCAAGAAGAGAAGAAGACAAGAGGAGGACAAGGTCAAGAAGAGAAGGTGATGATGAGAAGGACACAAAGGCCACGGAGGAGAAGACAAGAGAAGGGAGAAGGTGCCCAAAAGAGGAGCAGAAATATGATAGAACACGAGACGATGAGGAGGAGGATGACAAGAATAGCATGAAGAGGAGGAGAAAACAAGATGAGAAGTGTGAGAAGAGATGAAGAGTCCCAGCTGAGCAGGGTCAGGTGCTCTCCAGCCCCATTCCCAGGTGCCAGTTCTGCTCCAGCCACCTCCACCATGACCACACCACCACCCCCATGGAGCTGCTCCCCGCGGGCTGGGGGCACACCCGGGGCCCTCTGGGCCTGCCTGGGGCTGGGGGCTCCTCGCAGGGGCCACCCCACTGCCAACAGTCACCGGGTGAAGGCGTCCTGCCCGCCCCCGGGCCATGTCCATCACGTCTCCACACGGGTGCCACCTCCAGTGGCCGCTCCGGGATGTCCCCAGGGGTGCCGTGGCCACCGGGCCGGGCCTCTCAGGGCCACGTGTCCTCCTCCAGCCCCTCGCGCTCCCGCGGGGCCCAGGGGGGCTCCAGCAGGGAGGAGAAGACGCTCTGCAGAGCCCCCCAGGCCTTGGGGCTGCCGTTGTGGGGCCGGGGGGTCCCGGCCCCGTAACCCCTCGGGGTGGGGATGCGGGACGGCGCCTTGTGGGGCTGTGTGTCCAGCCGGGGCTTGGCCCAGGGCCGCCGCGGGGGCGTGGAGACCCCCGGGGCAAGGGGGGGCTCCTCCATCTCCAGCATCTCGTCCTCCCCGGGCGCCCAGTCGGTGTCGGAGCCGGGATTCCCGGGAGTCTCCCGGTTGTCCCAGGAGGCCGGGAAGCAGCAGCTCTCGTCGGAGGAGCTGGAGAGGGTGGAGCGGCGCCTCACATCCCCCATGGAGGGGTTGGACGGCAGCGTCGGGGGGCACAGCCCGTCGTTGTTCCCGTTATTCCCGTTGTTGTTGTTCCCGTCGCTGTTCCCGCTCCGCCGCCCGTCCTCGGCGGGCAGCCCGTGCTTGGCGAACACGTTGAGGGAGGAAGAGGAGGACGACGAGGAGCAATAGGCCGAGTCGGCGGTGGCGGGGGGCGCGGGGGGGCTCTCGGTGTCCCCCAGCTGCTCCAGCAGCCGCGTGTTGGCCAGGAATTCCTCCTCCAGCCGCTGGAACAGCCGCTGCTCCTGCCCGGGCTCCAGCCAGCGCGGGGCCCGCAGCCTCCGCGCCAGCTCCTCGGGGTCCCCGGGGCCGGGCCGGGGGTCCCGCCGCCCGCCGGGAGCCCCCCCGGGTGCATTGGGGGGCTCGGGCCGTGCCCACGAGTGCTGCCCGTCGGGGCGGCGGCGGATGAGCAGCAGCGGAGCGGGGCCGCGCCCAGGGCTGCGGGAGGCGCGGGGGGACCCGCGGGGGGACGCGGCGGCGGCGCGGGGGGCGCGGGGGGACCCCGGTGCGGGGTCCGGGGGGGGTTCCCGGCGGGCGGGGGTGCGGCGGGGGCCGCTCTGCGCGGAGGTGGCCGAGGAGTCGCTGTCGCCCGAGCAGCGGCGGGAGCGCGCGGGGGCGCGCGGCCTGGGGGCGGGGGGGCGTGAGCATCCTGCTGTGCATCCCCCGCAGGGTACCACCCCATTGAACCCCTCTGCTCATCGCATCCCCCCAAGTTACCGCCCCATTCGGCCCCTCCCCTCCACACCCCTCCCCATGGAACCCCATCAGTGAAACCTCCCACTGAGCCCCCCCATTGCACCCTACCCATTGAAACCCCCATTGCACCCCCCATTGAACCCCCCCATTGCACCCTACCCATTGAAACCCCCATGGAAACCCCCCACTGAACACCCCCATTGCACCCTACCCATTGAAACCCCCATTGTACCCCCCATTGAACCCCCCCATTGCATCCCACCCATT